CAAAAAAAAAAAAAAAAGAAGTATTTGCTGGGCCGGGAGTGGTGACTCAAGTTTGTAATCCCTGCACTTTGGGAAGCTGAGGCAAGAGGAATGCCTGAGCTCAGGGGTTTGAGACCAGCCTGGGCAACTTGGTGAGACCTCATCTCTACAATAAATAATAAAAAAAAAAATAAGCCAGGCATGGTAGGGTGCACCTGTAGTTCCCACTACTTAGAAGGCTGAGGCGAAGGATCGCCTGAGCCCAGCAGGTCGAGGCTGCGGTGGCCATGAGCATGCTACTGTCCTCCAACCTAGGCGGCAGAGTGAGACTCCGACTCAAAAGAAAAAAGAAGGAAAATAAATATTTTCTGGACATTGGGTATGCAAACTGCAACTCACGGATCGCTAACTTACAAAAAAAGAGAGGCATGGTAAATCATGGAAACCCTGCACCTCTGGAGCAATTTGTTCTGTGAGGGAATAGAAGAAAGCAGTCTGGGACTCTTGAGCTAGCTGACTTCTGTTCATTTTATAGATTTTAAAAAAATGAACACCATCCAAATCACATTTCTCAAAATACCAATTTTCCAGTGCCTGGGAAGAGGTTTAGAATTAACAGACCACCCACTTCTCATGAAGAGTAAGTCTGAAGTTGTAAAACTCATTTTAGATTCAATTCAAAAAGGAGAAAAACCACCAAGCTCCATAGTTCACACCTATAATCTCAGTTACTTAAAAGGCTGAGGAGGGAGGATCACTTGAGGTCAGGAGCTCAAGACCAGCCTGGGCAACAGAGCAAGAACCTGTCTCTAAGAAAAAAATTTAAAAGTTAGTTGGGCTTGATGGCCCACGCCTGTAGTCTCAGCTAATTCAGGAGACTGAAGTGGGAGGATTGTTTGAGCCCAGAAAGCTACAGTGAGCCATGAGCCATGATTGTGCCACTGTACTCCAGCCTGGGCAACAGAGCAAGACCCTGTCTCTTAATAAATAAACAAACAAATAAATAACAAGGAGATCATTTTGAAGTCTTTGGGATTAAAATATACATATAAAGGAGAAAAAGTCATATTTTTATTTAGTCCCCACCATTTTGAAAAACAAACTAATCTATAATAGTATGTATTTTCTCCTGCCTACCCCCACAAAATAATCACATTTTCACTTGACTCTTTTTTAAAAAGACAGACTAGGAACACTCACTTCATCAACAGATTTAGAAGCATCTATTTTCTTGACTTTTCCCATTTCTTCATATAAGTCAATAATGGGCTTTGTTGACTGAAGATAGGTCTGAATTCTGAAAAAGAAACAAATATTGTGGGGTTGCAGGTATCCATCTTTTCTTTCACATGTTATAAAACAGCTTAGAGGGCAACACTGGATCTGCCCCAACTGACACACCTACCATCTCCTTAACCAGCCATTTTACATGTTTAAGTATAATATTTTCTTTTTCTGGACCAAAATGGGGCAGGACTAGGACTGAGGTGGTCCTATGGAAAAACTGCAAGTTACCTCTTTTCCAAGCTCTCTCTGTTGTCATCACTTCTACCACTACTCTTTCCCCTCTCAAGACATCGTTCGATACAGATCTAAAAAGAGATACAAATGAAGTTATTTTAAAAATAGAAAGATATGCATTTGCCATTCTTTTTAACCTGAAAATTTTAAAAAACCCTTGCATGAAATCCAATGTGTCTAATTCATTAATCAACATGCAAAGTCCTTTTAAACATGTGGTTCAATTTACACAAACTAGGTTAAATAAGTACAGAGCATAATAAAATTCATTCATGACTCAATTTTTCCTGTTTTGTTTTTTTTTTTTTTCCAAACCGCAATAAAAAGAAGATCTGTATGTGTATGGTTCCATCTCGGATATATTATTAACTTATTAGGTATGAATTACATGCCTCAAACTTTGTTCCATTTTTGCTTACTTTTCAATAAGTCCATAAATATCTAAATATTTAAGAGTCAACATATTTGCGTTTGAATAAAGCATCCCTTGTTAACCGTGAGTAAACATTCCTTAGTTATAAAGCTGTGGTAACATTCTAAAGTTAACTTTGAAGAATAAGTGAAAACACATTTTTGGGGGTTGGAAGAAGAGAGTTACATTTTACAACAACTCAAAGGCTGCAGCAAGTCTCTCCACCAGAAGTACATTTACAATTCTACCTAAGAATAGCCAACTTCCTTCAAGGCACTACTTCAGATTCTTAGTCTTTCAGGGTGTTGGCATTAATTTAATGACATTTATATCACAGCAGCTGTCAAACAGAGTCAGGCCTTTTAATTAAATGATTCTGAGACATTTATTTATTCAAAGGTATGTCTGGGTTTGTTATTACAAGTGCCAAAAGAAAAAGAATATTTTCCTGCTCTTTTCAAGATCACTTTACTCTTAAGAGTGAAATCCTATGTTTCTTTAAAATAGAAAGTTTTCCCAACTCCCCAAAAATGTGTTTCTTTTCCAATAAGCAACACCCTAAGGCAAGGTACTCTGATAATATAGCCTACCTAATAAAGTAGTTCAGCTTTATTACCTAATATTATTGTACACATCAATTCTTCTTCTTTTCATTTTTTTTTTGAGTTGGAGTCTCACTCTGTCGCCCAGACTGGAGTGCAGTGGCCGCTCCTGGCCACCGCAGACTTGATCTGCCGTGCTCCAGCGATCCTTCCGCCTCAGCTTTCTGAGAAGCTGGAATTACAGGCGCGCGCTACCACGCCTGGCTGATTTTTGATTTATTGTAGAGATGAAGTCTCGCCAAGTTTCCCAGGCGGGTCTCGAACCTGCGGGCTCAGGCAATCTACTCACCTCAGCCTCCCAAGGCGTGGGATTACAGGCTGAGCCACTGAGCCTGGCAATTCTTCTTTTTTTAAAATTGATTCTTGTTATTTTGAAAATAAACTTTAGGTCTACAAGGCTGATGCCAAAAAGATTTTAATATTCCAACAGCAAGACAGGGCTGTTCTGACAATCCAATTGACCAATTAAAAAAAAAAAATACAGCCAGGCCTGATGGTTTATACCCGTAAACCCAGCACTTTGGGAGGCCAAGATGAGAGGACTGCCTGAGCTCAGGAGCTTGAGACCAGCTGGGCAACATGGTGAGACAATGTCTCTACAATAAATCAAAAAATTAGTTGAATGTGGTGGTGCCTGTGCCTGGGATTCCAGCTACTTGGAAGGTTGAGGCAGAAGGATCACCTGAGCTCAGCAGGTTGAGGCTGCAGTGGCCTTCAGCATGCCACTGCACTCCAGCCTGAGTGACAGAGTGAGACTCCCATTCAAAAATAAAATAAAATAAAATAATAAATAAAATTTAAATATAAGCAAAATATCACTTTTTTCCCTCTAATAGTTGACCCAAGTTGCTTAAAGCCCATGTGGACAGATGAAGATTTTTCTTTACCTCATTATTACAATCAAAAAACAGAACAAAAGATACATCTGCCTTCCCATCCATGGTCTTGTTCCAACCTTGAAGGTTGTCTTGATTTCTTGGAAACCCATCAATCAAGAATTTATTCTTCTGAGCATTGGCAGTCATTGTCTGATCTATTTCCTAAAGGAAAAAAAGATTTAGGATCAACACTACATTAACAAAATGCAATTTCTCAAGCAGACTAGTAGATATATTGGGGTTTGCTTTATTATTATTTTTTAAACCATAAGTAAAGAGTGGAGAGTGGCATAGAAAAAAAAGACTAGAAGGAAATGAATCCATGCAATAATATTAACATGGGTTCCTCAAGCTGGTGGAGTTAAGGGTATGTGCTCCCCACCTCCTCATTATATTCACACACACACATTTTTTCTGTAGTTTCCAAATTTTCTATAGTAAGCATATATTATTTTCACATATACATTCACAAAGTTACAAATAAACAGTAAGAGCAGAAAAAAGAAGAAAATAGCCATTAACCATATTTTTTCTTCAGCAACTGGATACCTTGTCTTATTTTCCCTTTGCCTTTCTCAAGTCATTTTGCTGTGGTAGAAAGTAAATTATTTCTACAAGTTCTCAATTCTTTTGTGATTCAAGTCCAACAGCACAATTTGTATTTGGACAAATACAAAAAGAAAGTATTAATTATTAGTGTAGGATTCAATACTTTTTTAAAAACTGAAGCTAATTAAACCTAAATGCCACTGGCTGCACCAAAACACAGAGAGCAAAACAAACAATACAACCAGAAAGATGGCAAGAACAACCCATTTTACCATCTTCTTCCTAAGCCTAAATGTAGGTAGAATGTGAAAATATATGGATGGGAAATGCAGATCTCTCATCTCTAAATCCTTTCACTTCCAATCACCACAGGATAAGCACAGATGCAAGACTTTGACAAACCTTAGAGGAGCCTCTATTCCAAAGCAAACTGACATTTAGTACCCACCATGTTCAACTTAGTTCCTCAAGAAAAATGGCTGTTAGGGCCTGTGATTCCTTTATCTGAGAAGTGGCTTTATCCCAGCATCTAGTTGCTTCTTCAATATTCATAAAACTTCCATAAAACACTTTTGGGCCTCTGTTATAGCATTTCTACCCCAAGTATGGTAGTGGAAGATATCTAAAGAAAGCATATCAATGTTATACTTACTCAGCAAACATTTATTCAAAGTCTACTATAAGGAAACCTGATGAGCAGGGTCATGGCTCTTGTCTCCAGGGAACTGACAGTTGAGTGTGTGACAAATACATAGGCATAGATGTGCTAAGCTCGGTAACGAGGTATGCAAGGGATGCTTTGATAAAACAAAGTACACACAAACTGCCAAGGAAACTGCCAGAGAAAGCTTTACCAAAGAGGTGGCAGTGGAACTGAATCCTAAGTAACAAAACAACAGGCAGGTAGAATCAGTGTCCTCCAGATGGTAGACACTGGATGTATAAAGGCTCAGAAATGAGAAAGCAATCAGCTTTGATAAATCTGAAGTAAACTAGCACAAATGAATCTTAGGATATGTGTAGAGAGTGGTGGGAAATATGACTAGAAAGCAAGCAAGGGGTAAGATTAAGATAAAACGTTTTACGTCACAGTAAGGATTTGAGTTTTATTCTGGAAGCAATACAGGATCATTTAAGAATTTTAAGCAGTAGAAAAACAGGCTCATGTTGTCTTTTAGAAAAAAATCACTGACTGCATCAAGTACAATGAATTAGAAGGAGATAAAGATGAATTAAAGGCAAAAAGACTAACTAGGAGGCTCTAGTGATTCAGGTAAGAAAAAAGAGGATATAAATTAAAGAGATAATGGTGATAGAGAAAAGAAGAGGATTAAAATAAAGATAATTGGAAAGATGTGCTCACTGAATGGATTTGGGAAAGTGAGGAAGAGGCAGAGAATACAGAATGGCTCCCAGATTTCTGCCTTGAGCAGCTGGGTAGATGGTAGAACCATTAACCAAGACAGTAAACAAAGGAGGATCACATTTTAGATGATTTTGAGATACTTGTGAGACATTCGGATAGACTCCTAGTAGCTAGTTAAAACTACAGCTCTGGAATTCAGAACAAAGGCTTGTTCTAGGGCTATGGACTTTAGCATCATTAGCATCGTGAAAGCTTTGGGCATGACTAAAACCATTCAGCAAGAAATTCATAAAATGAGAGCTAAAGAGAACCAAGTATAAAAACCTGAGAAGCATCATGGTTTAGGAAACCTGCAAAAGAAGAAAAGCTATTAAAGAAGACTGAGAAATAGCAGTCACTGAATTAGGAAGAGAATCAACAGAAATGGTACCAATTTGGGAATGGCAATAAGGAGTTAAAAAAGAAAAAAAAAGAAATGATATTACAAAGAACAAATGAAGAATGTGTTTTACACAGTTATTAGAGTTAAATGCTACAAGAAAAAGAATGACTCAAAGTATTACCCAGAATTGATAGAGAAGATCATTGAGAACAAGCAAAAGAAGCTGTGATGGAGATGAAAACAGAATCTGAAAGCAAAGGCTTGAAAAGCAGAAACGGAAAAAGTAAAATGAATGTAAATACTCTTTCATAATACTTAGTTATAAAGCAGAGGAAGGACACTAGATCAAGCAAAATGGGAGAGAAGATAGATTTACTGTGGAATGGAAGTAGCTTATTCCAATCTCTGGGACAAGTGGTGAAAAAGTGTATATGACTCATTCTTCCTCCTCTAGTGTCTTTAGTTCCGCCCAGAGGCTTATATTAGGTTAATGCATAAGTTCATGGCATTTGTTTTTGACATGGTAACAGTGCAATATTGGGAGTTTATCATTTGTCATTTGGAGTGAAAATGTTATGTTTGGGAATATGCCTTGCATTTTGCAGATATGAAGAAAGTGAGTGCGATTTGTGGGCTAAGGAAAGATGGAGTGTCAAATGGGGAAAAAATGAATACTTCAGATATATTCTGTTTGAGTTCAACAGAGGAGTAAAGGCAGCAGGGGGGCTCAGGACATTTGTGCTGTGTATGGGGAGAACGCCTTTGGGGAAAGCACAGCAAGAAAATGCCTTTGTTGTTTTAAGGAGGGCCACTTTGATCTGAATGATTCTCCACATTCAGGAAGACCATCGGGCTTTAATCCACAATGATCCACATCAGTCAACACGAGAACTGGCAAATGTTATGTGACCAGTCAACCACTGAGTGATATTTGCATTCCATGGGCAAGCCAAAAAAGAAAAAAATAACGCTATAAACTTATGCATCAATCCAATATGTCTCTTTTCCATCAGGCTTCACTTATTTCTTACTGTTTTCAATATTGCATTTTTCTTCTCCTTCATTATGTCTTATATGTGAAAATGCCTGTTAATGACTATAGTCATAGGAGTCTATGGTAAAGAGTTACCTAGTAAATACAAGGTGTCTGTTTTTCAGATGCAACATATTTTAGTTTGATAGCTATTAAGTCTTTGCATTTCACACTGAAGACATCAAGCAAAAGCAGACATCAAGACTGAAAGTCTATTAACAAGCAGGACATGGGTTAAAAAGGAAAGAAGAAACAACGGTTTACAAAAATATAGAAAAGAAGAGAAAAAAGAGAAGGGAAGAGAGGAGAAAAGAAGAAGTAACAAAAATGGAAGAAAGAATCACTGTCTGAATGTTGGGAAGAAAGGGTAAAGTGCACATATATTGAACAATAGCTGATCCTAAACCAAGGCAGAAAATCCTTGTTACTAGCCAGTTTCTTCCCAGGTGAAAGTAGTTTCCAGGTCCGCCATTCTTTTTTTTTTTTTGAGTTGGAGTTTCATTCCGTCACCCAGACTGGAGTGCAGTGGCTGCTCCCAGCCACCACAGCCTCGACCCACTGGGCTCTGGAGATCCTTCCACCTCAGCCTTCCGAGTAGCCGGAATTACAGGCGCGCGCTACCACGCCCAGCTGATTTTTGATTTATTGTAGAGATGAGGTCTCGCTGCCCAGGCGGGTCTCGAACCCGCGGGCTCAGGCAATCCACTCACCTCAGTCTCCCAAAGGCGCGGGATTACAGGCTGAGCCACTGAGCCTGGCCAGGTCTGCCATTCTTAAACAACCATGCCACCTTCCATAAGCAAGAAATTTCAATACTCTGATTTTTTCACTAGTCATATAAAAGGTGGATTTAATGTCTTGTTTCCTTGCTAATTTGAATTGGTTGGCACTCACACTCCTTACCCTCTTTAATAAACTGATGGTTATCTCAACTGGAACGATCTTTCCTTCTGTAATACACTTTTCAATGAGTTCACCATACTGTGAATCTGGGTTCTTCCTTTCATCACGAAGAAGTTCTCCAGCAGAAAGGTGTGTGTAGCCATATTTCTGAAAGAAACAACATATAGGAAAAAAATCAAAATTCATTCAGCCCAGTGGTAGGACTATACATTTTATTCCTTTGTGTTAATTTCTATATTCTAATTTTCTACAATAAATAATGTTTTGTGGTCGAGCTCGGTGGCTCAGCCTGTAATCTCAGCGCTTTGGGAGGCCAAGGTGAGTGGACTGCCTGAGCCTGCGGGTTCGAGACCCGCCTGGGCAACTTGACAATATCTCATCTCTACAATAAATCAAAAAATAGCCGGGCGTGGCAGCGCACGCCTGTAGTTCCAGCTACTTGGAAGGCTGAGGCGGAAGGATTGCCAGAGCCCAGCAGGTCGAGGCTGCAGTGGCCAGGAGCTGCCACTGAACTCCAGTCTGGGTGACAGTGAAACTCCAACTCAAAAAAATTAATTAATTAATTAATTAAAATAATGTTTTGCTTGCATATTAATAATAAAATTTAAGAGATTGCATATAATCCAGTTTGCCTAATAAATATTCTTAGCTCTTCATAGCTATAATGTTCATACATCATGATATCATCCCCAAATCATCTAACTATTGAAGGCATTAACATCTTTATTATATTCCTTCATAAACACGATCAAAATTCAAATGTTATTAATACTGTTCCAAAAAATTAACAAAAATCTATATAATTCGAGGTGATGACTGGGTACAGCAGCTCACACCTGTCATCCCAGCACTTTGGGGAGCCGAGGTGGGAGGACTGCTTGAACCCAGGAGGTTGAGGCTGCAGCGAGCCCTGATTGTGCCACTGCACTCCAGCCTGGGTGACAGAGTGAGACCCTGACTCAAAATAATAACAACAACAACAACAATAATAATAATAATAATATAAAGGCAACAAAACAAAACAAAACCCCCAAAGACTTACCACTGATGTCTATATCTGCTTCTATAAAATGTCTACTTTTTTAAACTCAATGTATGTTTAAATTGAATTCATCACTATTTACACAAAATCCACCCTTCCCTTTCTCAGTAAACAGTAGAAGTCCAGCCGGGCTCGGTGGCTCAGCCTGTAATCCCGCGCCTTTGGGAGGCTGAGGTGAGTGGATTGCCTGAGCCCGCAAGTTCGAGACCCGCCCGGGCAGCGAGACCTCATCTCTACAATAAATAAAAAAATCAGCCGGGCATGGTAGCGCATGCCTGTAATTCCGGCTACTTAGAAGGTTGAGACGGAAGGATCGCCGGAGCCCAGCAGGTCGAGGCTGCGGTGGCCGGGAGCGGCCACTGCACTCCAGTCTGGGCGACAGAGTGAGACTTCAACTCAAAAAAAAACAAAAAAAAACAAAAGTAGAAGTCCTACTTCCTCCATGACATCAGCTTTCCTGACCACTCTGATACTGGTATAATCAAATAATATCTTAATTACTGTCAGGGTGGCTGAACGAAGCATATTTGTATACCTAACCCTTAACTGTACCCCACAATATCATAATAAAAAATATTGATTTTAAAAAAAAGCATTACTATCTCTCTACCTAGACCAGTATCTTCATTACTACTGCCCAAAGTCTATTTCCTACCACTCTACTTGCAATGAGAAGTCTCATCTGTAAGATGGGAATAAAAATACCTATTTTATAAATTTGTGGTTATGATTAAATGAGATAATGTATTAAAATGCCTATCATAATGCCTACCACAAAATCTGACACATAGTAGGAATAATAACTACCAATTGTCTCCTTTCCAACATGAAGACACTTATTTATAATATATGTGTGTGTGTACATTCACTTTAATGGTGTTGATAGAAAAACCAATGGGGCTTAAGTGAGATAGTATATATGAATATCCTATGAGAAAGGTCAATAGTATAGTATATATATATGACTATAATGATAATTATTATTAAAGACTTACAAATGATATATTAGGTTGGGCTATAGAGTAATACTTAACCTAAGTCATCTAAGACACTATGGTATTGTACTGCCATTTCCCCTTTGGTGGAATGAGAAAACAAGACATATCTGAGAAATTATTCTGAATACTGAAAACCTTCTTCTTCCACATGAACTTACAAGTCCCATTTTATTTAAAAAAACTTTACAATCCATTTCAAAAATGTTTTTACTCTCACATATTAGAAAAATCAGAACTATATTCATTACTCAGTTACAAGAACCACCTCATCCCAAATCCTTCACTCAACAGATTTTTTTTATCTTATCTAAGTATACAATAAATATTTAGCCGGCCTCAGTGGCTCAGCCTGTAATCCCGCGCCTTTGGGAGGCTGAGGTGAGTGGATTACCTGAGCCCACAGGCTTGAGATCTGCCTGGGCAACTTGGCGAGACTTCATCTCTACAATAAATCAAAAATTAGCTGGGTGTGGTAGCGCGCGCCTGTAGCTCCAGCTACTTGGAAGGCTGAGGCAGAAGAATCGCCGGAGCCCAGCAGGTCAAGGCTGCAGTGGCCAGGAGCGGCCACTGCACTCCAGTCTGGGCGACAGAGTGAGACTCCATCTCGAAAAAAAAAAAAACTTGATAACTTTAATTTCAACATTAAGATTTGAGGCAGCCTGCACTCCTAATCCCTTTTAATAAAAAATTATTTCATTTTCACATTTTACAAAAATGAACTCTTTCTCTTTTTTTTTTGAATTGGAGTCTCACTCTGTCGTCTAGACCACTGCAGCCTTGACCTGCTGGGCTCAGGTGATCCTTCTGTCTCAGCTTTCCAGATAGCTGTAACTACAGGCATGTACCATCATGCCCAGTTAATTCTTCTTGATTTATTGTAGAGATGAGGTCTCACCAAGTTGCCCAGGCTGGTCTCGAACCCGCAGACTCAGGTAATCATCTCACTTCAGCCTCCCAAAGTGCTGGACTTATAGGCCTGAGCCGCCATACCCAGCCTAAAAACTAACTCTTTCAATTACCCAGGCTATAGTGAGTTTTTTTGGGTTGAAGAAACCACATATTCTTCACTCTTCTATTTCCCAAAGTTGTTGGTTAAGCTTATTCTTGCTTACCAAATGGTAAGCTAACAGTAAGGTAGTCAGTAAAGGAAAATAAAACTCTAAATAGTTTATTTGCTGACTAAAATTGGGCATAAACTTTGATGATAATAAACAAAAACCACAGTATTAATATCATCCATGTCTTTCTCTTAGTCATATAGGCCCTTCCATAGAAGAAATGATCAAAGTGTAATTATTGTATAAGCTTTAAAAAAAAACTCTCATCATTTATAGAAAATAGAAAGAAAACACAATTGTTTAATTATTTAAATGTTATTTTAAAATTATTTCCATGCCATTTATAAATGCCTCTTTGATTTATAAATGTGTATATGTAAATTTTGATCACTGAATATATGTAAACTTCTGAAAGTTGGGTACAGAAAAGACTTTATAAAAAATGAAGTGTGAGCTACTTTCCAACTTACTCTGTACAATTTTCAAAAAGCATTTTGCAACTACTGTCCACAAATTTTATAGCAGCTTCATTTCCTACTGTTTACTTTGGCCCCTACTTGGAACTCTCTGCTTGCTGGATGCTCTACTCCAGTCTAGCTATTATAGCATATGGTAATACTGAATAATGCAGAGATAAACAGTACTAAACAATGGTCTATACTCAGTGAAACACCAACAATACATATCACTCTATAATGCTCTGCTATATGAACAACATAGACATGTATAAGCCCAGCTAGTAATTTAGAAATCAGTACATACAGCACTCAAATTTGCAACCTTTATATTGCATTAATGTGGGTTTTAGCATTATATATCACTTTTTTAAGAGAAACTAATTGTAAATTGTAGATATACATGAATAATACTTTTAAAAAACAATTATACAGTTTGCCAAAAAAAGAAAACAGCCTTACCTGCAAAGTCCATAGAAACAAGGAATTTAAATAAATATAGCCATGTCAAACCTATACATGTGTCTTTTGTTTTCTCATTCATATTCCATTTTCTGAAATCCTCACTTACCAATTAATTTTTTATACTACATTTTTCTTAAGGGATTTGTTGAAGTTTTTCTCGTACCACAGAGTTTCAGCAACAACCAAAAAGCAACTATCATTTACATACTAGTTATTGTAGTATTTTAATAATAGCTAGACTTTAAAGAACATATTTTCAAAGCATTCTGCTTTCACTAAGTAGTCATTGCAGTCCACATTGAGGAAAGCAAGAATGGATATTTTCCAGCCTTAACCAAAACCTTTTCACATTCTCTGAAATTTCCTAGCAATTAAAACCTAGTGGGTCACTAACAACAGTCTTAAGAACAACATTCAAAACCACAGCAGTTTATAAATACTATGAACTACAATAACTACGCTTACAAGCTACTATTCAAGTAAAAATAGTAATTTTCTAGTGACTCATTTAGAGTAACTGTCTAAGTGTTTTACTTTCATTTTCTACTTTAAGAAGTTGAAAAACAGCTCAATATCCTTTTATGGATCATACACAAAGATCTGGAGAGAGAAAAAAGCACCATGTTCTCAACAAGTACAAATGGTACTCCATGTTACTAGTATAAGTAGGCAAATGTTGACAATTTTATGGCATCTAATCTCAAACCATTTTGTTCAATTTCTCTCACTTTTTAGTGACTGTCTTTCCCTCCCAAATTTAAAAAACAATCAAATACCAAAAAAAGCACAGTTTTCAGAGTACAAATGGTAAGTCCTTGAAGGTAGGAAGAGATTCAAATGTCAGGCACTTCCTCTTGTTAATGTGGCAATTATAAAGTACCATTGGACTGCTATTGAGCCTCTCTTGCATTAAATAGAGGAAACAAAGCAGACATATTAGATACATATATATATATATATATATATATATATTTTTTTTTTTTTTTTTTTTTTTTTTTTTTTGAGTTAGAGGCTCACTGTGTCGCCCAGGCTGGAGCGCAATTGCACACTCATGGCCACCACAGCCTAGACCTACTGGGTTCAGGTGATCCTTTTGCCCCAGCCTTCCAAGTAGCTGGAACTACAGGAG